CATTTAATTCCTTCCAAAGATAAACACTATGCAAATATCCACGAAACGGCAGTTGTAGTCTTTTCTGCTAGTGTTTTAAAACACTAATTTGAGCAACGTTATTTCGTAATTTCGATCTTTTGTAAACCTGGGGTGATGTATCAAGGTCTAAAGTAACCGTTTTATCAATTTTTGAAAAATCAAGAAAAAAGTGAAAATTTCCCTTCTCGCTACCTTAAGAGTATTCAGAGAACCCTGGGAAGCAGAACAAACTATCAAGTCTGATATCATCACCAGTATATTCTTATTATTCTTCAGCCATCTTTTTTTTTACTGAAGATGCATTTCATTAGCATGTTTCAGTTATAATTTATTTAGATCCTAACTTAATTGAAACACTGATAAAGCTTTATATTAATAGATCTGATTCAAAACCCACCAAAATATGCTGTGAGATCATCAAGACAACAGTTTACAGTTAGTTTACTGGTAGGTTAAACAGATTTATCTTTGTGTTTCATTAGACCTACAACTTGTTATTCTATAAATATTTCAAATTTGAAACTTTGATTGTACTTTTTTTTAACTTTATGATTTTTATTTGCACTTTATGGACAGTGACCCAAAATATGATATTTATATATATAAACAAAGCAATAGATAAGATTAAATAGTAGTAAGTACTGGCTTTTGTTTTCATAATTATAAATGGGAACCAGACTTTCAAGCAAAACAGAAAAATGGTATTTGCTGTTATTTCCTGCAAGTTACAGAATTGGCAGATTTGCAGTCAGTTTCAATACAAAATGCCACATAAACAGAACTGTAGATAAGCAACACTAAAGCTTCTAGTCACAGAGTATTGTTTGCACTAATAGAATAAAAAGTCTGGACAGATTAAATGATGTGCAAACAGTAGAAGGAGTTTCAGAGGAAGTGAAACAACAAGTATTGACAATGCACAGTCCATATGTTTTATCGGTAGTTTTATTAGTGTTCATTACATGTGCTACAAGTCAACCTATGATATCACTATTATGAGTATAGTACTTGTAAACAAACTTTGAAATGAATCAGGTGATATATTAGTGATGACTTGGTATGAACAAAAACAGTTGGCCATTTTTGTTTGAATCTCACCAGTAACCAAATATGCATGATCATGATTCTTCAAGAAACAGTTGCCAACACTTTTATAAACTGTTTAGACAAAACGGCCGTAAAATGTGTAAGTAATTACATTTAGCAAATTTGTGGGCCAAAATGGCCACCAGTCAGCCATTTATCATCAAATCGTAACAAAAACCTAGGTACAATATGTAAGTTATCATATATGGTCATTGTGTTAAATTTGAATGTGATCAGTCAAAGCATGCTCGAAAAATGACTCCAGACAAAAAACAATTTAATACGGTACTGCCTGATTTTAGACTTCATCCAAAACGTCTAAAAATTTCTATCACAAATTAAACGGATTACGCTGATACGCTGAGAGATATCATGTATATGACACCAGCTATCCCATGTATCAGCAACCTTGAAGACAAAAACAAAACTTTTAACACTCAAAGTGGGATGATCGCTCGAAACCCTGCGATATGCCCTTCCCGAAAAAATGGTGGGAACCTTACGCAAAATCCGCAACAGCAAAAAATATTGTTTTAAAGTTGCTCATTATATATTTCAAATATATATTAAGACATTCAGTTACTTGTAAGTCTCCTAAATTTAAGTTGATTCTTTAAAATCTTACACAGCTGCAAAGGTCAAAATATCCTGAACGTTTTAAAAATGGCCGGATCTGTTTTATGAAGAAATACACAATTTCTGAAATGTGCCGAATATTCAATGTTCGGTAAACTTTGACGTGTCTATGTCAATACAAGTGAGTGTGGCACACATAGCATTTAGAATTAAGCCGATTAACACCTTAAACAATAGGCGTTGCCAGTCTGTTAATTAGTTGTCTGAGGTGAAATACAGGACACACTCTATCATACTGAATGAGGGTGTCCTCTAATACATGCTCACTGGTGTACTATGACCTAATTATTAAAAGCCATTTTAATGGATCAGTTCACACAGCATTGGTAATGGCCACCAGTTGACCATCCTGAGTCAAGTTTACAAATCATAGTGACATGCAACAACTACTCATAGTGATTGAACCAAAACCAAAATGGAAGTTTCTGGTACATTCTACCTTGGGAATATAAATCCAATTCTGTTTTTCACTGGCAATGAGTAATGAATACGCAACAAATTTCGCATTTAGCAGTTATTTAATTGGAAACTTCAGGCTTGTTAGCAGAAATTTAAGGACATTTTATTAACAAATAAACATAGCTGTGTTTGTCTAACATACATCAAACCTATAAATAAATCTGGGGGCTAATACCTATATATAACCTATATATTTTTGGAACATGAATGTGTATTTTCGTAAATAGCAACATGAATTTATTGAAAGCATATTAAACATAATATATATATATACATACATAGAGAAAATACATTTTAGTTTACAGGAATAGACTACCAGCATTTCTACATTGCTTCATGATGAACTAAGTCGCCACTGAAACTTACCTTTTTGCAAATGACTACTATCAAGGCAGTTGGAATCCCCGTAGAGAACCATTCTACCACTGGTATCGGCCACTTGATGTAGTCCTAAAATAGGAACATCTTCTGCAGTCACAGTTTCACCTTTCAGTACTTCATGCCCTTGATCTTTCAATGTTTGCCTCACAAGAACTCCTTCTGCTGGGAATTTGGCTATACTGCCCCCAGAGGCATAATACACTAATAAAAAATATTAATAGAAATCACATGCTAAATAGTCATCACGACAAATATATAAGGGAACAGCAAGTAGAGTGTAATATAATTTATGGAATCATTCACTAGGAGATGAAAAACAATATTTCGCAGCCAAATTATGTGGTTGAAATCCATTTTTCATTATTGGAAAATTACAGTATAATATAAGAGTGCCTAAATAGCCACAAACCATGAGTAATACTTGACACATAATAGTATGTGATTATCAGAACAGACTTCTATAACAGTGAATACAACTGTAACAAGATGTTTGAGTTCAATGTTCGAGAGACATAGACATTCTTCAAAAAGAATGCGAGAAAGCATCAACTCAAATGACCAGAAGTAACATGGAATTGAGTAATGTCAGGTGACAGTTCTGATTCAAACTTTGTGATAATTCATTCAGGGATATAGATTAAAATCAAGATAAGATAAGCTGGGCGTGAACTTACTTTCATGACCGCCTAAAGTGAAATCGCCTTCATAGACCTGATTACTAAATGCCATACTAAATGGAGACAGCAAGTCATTCAAAGCTGGAACATTAGCACCACCAGTATCAGGCATCCACCATTGCCTACAAATCAAACAAAGACAAAATTTGTACCTTCGCCGTAACCAAACTCCCAATCTGCTTTTATCAGGCGAAGACCATTTCTAATTAATCGGTGCTCCAAGCCTCGATTTTGGGTCCCTTGCAACAATACGATCCATAAAATTTGCTGATGTAACATTCCATCAATGCGAAAGCAAGGCTTCATCACAAATAGTCAGCAATGGCCATCGTGCAATAAAAATGCATTGTATTAAAATACTGAATTTATGAGCGTTTTCTTCTATATTTAATACTAAATGTTTGCTTTGCCTTTTTTTTAGAAAATAGCATGAATTACTAGTAGGTTATCTTACAACTGAAGAATATATCTAAATATTTATTTTAACACATTTAGATATCACTGATATCACTAAAACCCAGGTAATAATTACACTCTGTACAAAAAAACAATTTATACAACTTGATATGCATTTGATGCGTAATAATGGACTTCCTGAACAGCATACAGAAAATATTATTGAATACATCCCATGACAAACAATGAATGTTTGCTATTAATAAAATAATTCAACTTAATACATATCAAGAACAGATTGTGTGGATCAATCAACTCATGCATGGTAATAAAGCAATAAAGCATTTCAGCAAAAAATCTAATAAATCATCTTAAAGTTTACAAAACCTATTTATGGTATCCATTCAAATTTAGCTGGTTAATAATTTTAATAACATTTTGCAAACAACATCTATAAATTATGCATATGAGACTTGCACAAATCAAGTTGAGCAGAGGCGTACAATATTGACAGCAAAGATGACAATTTCTCCCTCTATTTTGCATCTATGTATACAGGCGAAGTAAAAAGTTGTGTTTTGGCTCTTACAGTTTATGCATTCGTAAAATATAAAATATTAACCACTGGGGAGTTTTGTAGCTGTATATTAAATAAAGATGAAGTGGGAGATTCGTAATAGTACACATTTGGCAGTCATATTGAATCAAATTACAAACATAATGTACAAGTTGATGTATCTATTGGTATACTGTCTTTGTACAAAATTTAAACAGAAATGTTCATTGCATTCATGGGAAAGTAGGCATGGGTATCAAGAAAAACAAAATGGCCACCAGTCAGCCATACTAGTTTGAATCACAGAAAAAATATGACATGCAACTATAACCCAATATGTATGATCATCATACCAACTTTGATCCAAATTGGCCTAGTCATCTCTGAGAAACAGCTCTGGACATGTAAAAATGACATTTATAGTGCTTTTACATAAAAATTGGCTGTCAGCCAGCTATATTGAATTGAATCACAAAAATAATGTTGGTGCAGATGTATCTCTTGGCATACTACTTTCGTACAAAATTTAAACAGAAATGTTTATTGCATGTAAGAGAAAGTAGCATGGGTATTATGAAAAACAAAATGGCGGCCATATTTGTTTGCATCATGGAAAAAGTATTACGTGCACCTAGAACACAATATGATCAACATATCAACTTTGATCTAAATTGGCCTAGTCATCTCTGAAAAACAGTTCCGGACATGTAAAAAATGACGATTTAATGCTTTTACAGGAAATTTTGGTGTCGGTCAGCCATATTGAATGGAATCACAAAAATAATGTTGGTATACTATCTTTGTACAAAATTTAAAGAAAAATGTTCATTGCATTCAAGAGAATGGGCACCTTGACGTGCATATGTAAGACATATGTATTGTCTTCATGTAAAGTTTGAATGTAATCTGTCAAGGGGTGTCCGAGACATAGCCACGGACGTACGTACGTACGTATGGATTGAAGGATGGATGGAACGAACCCAAATTAATAGTTCCTGTTTTCGGACTTCATCCGAACGAGGAATAAAAATGATACATGGGTGACAGAGATATAGTAATATGGCCAAAAATAGCCATTATTCAGCCATCTTTGATCTGATTTTGAAACAAACTGTCATGGACATGTATCCTAACATGTATAAAGTATGTGCCAAATTTGAATGAAAACTGACAAAGCATGTCCAAGGTACCACTTATAAAAAAACAAACAAGATGCCTGCCAGTCGGCCATCTTTGATCCAATTGCGAAAGAAATTGTCATAGACATGTATCCTAACATGTATAATCTATGTACCGAGTTTGAATGAAAACTGACAATGTCCAAAATATTACATTTTCAAAAAACAATATGGCTGCCAGTCGGCCATTTTGAATTGTATCGCTAAACGACTGCATGTGCATATGTCCCACATAAGTACTAGGCACACGCAAAAACTGAACGGAATCGATCCAAAGGATTCTGAAATATGATTCTGGATGGACTGACGGACGGTTGGAGGACATGTACATGTATCCTAACATGTATAATCTATGTACCAAGTTTGAATGAAAACTGACAAAGCATGTCCGAAATACAACATTTTCAAAAAACAAGATGGCTGCCAGTCGGCCATTTTTAATTGTATCGCTAAACCACTGCATGTGCATATGTCCCACATAAAGTACTAGGCAAATGCAAAAACTGAACGGAATCGGCCTAAAGGATTCTGAAATATGACTCTGGACGGACGGTTGGAGGACATGTACATGTATCCTAACATGTATAATCTATGTACCAAGTTTGAATGAAAACTGACAAAGCATGTCCGAAATACAACATTTTCAAAAAACAAGATGGTGCCAGTTGGCCATTTTGAATTGTATCGCTAAACCACTGCATGTGCATATGTCCCAAATAAAGTACTAGGCACATGCAAAACTGAACGGAATCGGTCCAAAGGATTCTGAAATATGACTCTGAACTGACGGACGAACAGTTGGAAGACATGTACATGTATCCTAACATGTATAATCTATGTACCAAGTTTGAATGAAAACTGACAAAGCATGTCCGAAATACAACATTTTCAAAAAACAAGATGGCTGCCAGTCGGCCATTTTGAATCGAATCATTAAACCACTGCATGTGCATATGTCCAAAGTACTAGGCACATGCAAAGAATGAACAGAATCAGTCCAAAGGATTATGAAATATAAGTCCCTGTTTTCGTACTTCGTCCGAACGATCACTAATAATTTAGTGAAGCAGATCAGAAATATGAAGTACACCATCTAGAATATGCAGGTCAAGGATTTCAATACTATCAGTTGCCAGTACAAGAAAGGCAGCCAAGATGTGTTTTTACGATCCATTCATATTTCTCAGAAAATATAACTCACGAGATATGAATAATATATGATATACATTATATGCTCAGGGCTGAAAATATAATATATATACATATATATGTGCGTGTGTGCTGTAAATGTCAAGAGAAAGAATAATTCTGTGAAAATAAAATCCTGCGAATATATCTTTTTACCTATATTTCACATTAAACTTGTCAAAAAACAGTGTAAATAAACAGAACACCTAAGTCCTTTCAGCGAAAATTAACTTCAGCTAAAATAAAGTATTTTACAGTATATGAAAAAATCTTTATGACACAGTATAAAGGCCAATACCATTTCTCAGATAATGGGAAGAAGACTTGAGGGTTTTAAA